TGCGGTGAATGAAAAACGTAACAGAGTTGTTAATATACTTGTTAAGGTTGACGAAGATTCCGGGAAGCTTCTTTTTTTTTCCTTTGGGGCAAATTGTTTTTTTTTTTGGTCACAGGGGCAAATTGTTTTTGTATTAAAATAAAGCAGAATTTAAAGGCTTTTTTGTTACACAAATTTGTTAAATGAACAAATTCCTAAATTTGTATTGGCCAAACGAGACTCGAAATTTTAATGGTTGGAAATAAATTATTCGATGGCATTACTAGAGCTGTCTTTGGAGGTGGTATTTCAAGAGTTTTGAGTAATTAATTTCAAATTAAATTACTATTAGCAATAAGTGTAATTAAAAGCTAATACTCAAAATTCTAGTTCATGTATACATAACAAAAATATCGAAATTTGTGGTAGCAACAAAAAGAATTGAGAAATTTGGTAAATTTATTTTCTGATACACATATATTTCAAGAAAGTGATTTATTTTAGAGATTCCTTTTTTTTTTTTGTCAACAGAGATTCCTTTTCAAGCAAGAAAACTATATAACTTTTGTTTTGACGGTTCCTGAATTCTAGATGTTGATGATCATTAATCACCTCTTTTAATAAAATTATACTGTATTTTGTTAGTAATCAAAATAATACATAAAAGTAATTTGTTTATGAGGTTTAAAGCTTCAAATAATTACGCGTTTTCAATGCTAGTATTGTGGTTAAGACTTAAGATAAAAAAATTTACTTTGAGAATATTACACGAACGTTAATCGTGTTTTATATCGTTCTAGAAGAAGGAATCATGTTATATTTAAAGTAACAACGAATCAAATTGACCGTAACTCTATGAATGTTCCAAATGGAACACGACCCAACAGATACTATATATACGTGGATCAAACACTTTTATAAGAAAATAACAAATTAGTTGTTTTTTTAAAAAACTTTTTCAACAACAAATTATTTGTTCTAAAGTCCAGAATAATATATACATAATTACATATGACTTCTGAAAGGATTTAAATTGGTTTTTATAATAGTCTTGTTGCATTGCATTTACGCATTGCGGTTTAAATACTTTCATTTTGTAAAATCAACTTCCATTATCCTATAGAAGAAATTCTCAAAATTGCTTGGACAACAATTACAATTCTACAACTTGAACTTTTAATATATAAACACAATCAACTACGTTCCCCACCAAAATCATGGGCAAAAATATACGTTAACGTACGTATCTTCATATTTAGTAGTTTGGATAACATAACAGTTCTGCTAAATTCCAAATGGTACAACATATAATAGTTTTGTAGTGATTCTACACAATATTAGAGTATAACTAAGAAAGTATAAATCGATATACATATAGCGAAAAATGTCAGAAAATTAACATGACAAGTTAAGTGTTTTTATGTTAACGTTATGTTTGGAGTTATTGTAAAATATATAGCATGAAAGTTATAGCAAACATAAAATTATCTGATGGAATTAAGTTTTAAATTAAATATCTTGGTTACGTAAGTTTGACTATGACATTTTCAGTGACGTATTTCAATTTAATTTCTAAACACACAAAAAATGAGGAAATACGGAAAGAGCATATAAATAGAGAAAAACTGGTGAAACAAAAAACACGAAACAGAACAATCACATAAAGCATCTCTCTCCATTTCTCACCTGCTTCTTCTTCTTTTGATTTGGTAATTTGTATCAATGGCGTTACAAACCGTGAGTTACTGGTTAACGGAGCATCCAAAGATCGTTAACTTCCGTTGGAGTCCAACCCAATCATACGCCTCCACGTGGTCTTTTCTCTTCACCGCCGT